TCCCCCCCCCCCCCCCCCCTTCCCCGTAGTAGTATGGCTGCAAGACCGAAGAACCTGCTTCTTGCTACTGCTACAATTCTGGAGAACCTTCTTGTTGCTGTTAGCACTACACTTGGTCAATTTGATCCTTAGGGGTGGAAAATTCCATGTGAATAGGGTCCATCCTGATCTTCATTTCCTCCAGTTCAACTGAAAGGGCTTCATCCCTGGACTGGGTGAAGGGAAAGTAACGAGATCCATACCAGAGGAAAAACGGGTCAGCCATGCTGCTTTGCCTCACCACCACCTCTTTATCATCCACAATAAGAACGTCAATATAGCTCAATGGGTGGGTCAAATCGAGAGAACTGCAAATGAAGTCACCACGGGAACTGGAGTCGGAAGGCAGAGAAGAAACGATTGAAGGCAGCCTCTTCATCCACTCTGCTTGAAAAGTCGGCTCGGTCTTTCATTCTGGCAACCATGACCATCTCAAAATCAAGTAGCTTGCACAACTTGGGGTAAGAATGTATCATGGCGCGACAAACTTGAGCATCGGTGAAATACGGCAGAGGCAGCAATAAAGCGCAGATGACGAGGTGCTTACCACGAATACTCGCGACAGGTACACGTTCCCCACTGTGAAGTCCCTCTTCTTCTTCGTCTTCTTGTTTTTTCTGGAACACAAGAACTATTCAACGCCGCATGGGAGGCACTTGTTTTGATCGATCACAATGGGCTTCCTCTTCATGCGATGAGGATACTTAGGTGCCTTCTCCTCCTCGTCTTCATCCTCATCCTCCTCCTCCCCCTTATCGTCACTATGCTTGACTTTCTTGTTAGGAGGTTCCAGGCTTTCCGTCGTTTTGGTTAGAGCTCTCTTCATGTCATTGTTGATGACATCAATCAAACGTGCTGTCGCAGCACCAGCAACACCCAGTTGTCTCTCTTCTTCCATCTCTTGTGCTCTTTTCATTATACTCTCAAGGCAGAAACTGGGCAAGGGGCTGGGAAAGGAGTCCTCATCCGGCAATGCCATCCCTAATCTTCAATACACTATAATCAAATCAAAATACCTTATTGTATTAGCAGGATCAAATATAAAAGAGCAAGGCACACAATATTGATGCAATCATATGTATGTGTGTGTGTCTATATATATATATATATATATATATATATATATATATATATATATATATATATATATATAAAATATATATATATATATATAAAATATATATATATATATATATATATATATATTTATTTATATATAAATATATACACACACACACACACTAGCAACTATACGCGCGTTGCGCGGAGTAAAGTTCCTGATAAAGATTGTTTCCAATTTTTTTATGTTTTTTATATGTTATATTGTGGTTGAACTCATACATAGTGTAGTCTATTCATTCCATCAATCAATAACGAACTTGATAACAATAAGCTACAAAAGATTAAATAAATTAAACTGAGTTTACAATAAAGAAAATACCATTGATGATATGATATATGGAGTATTTCCAATTCATAAAAGTTGCCACTAGTAGCATTGAAGTGCTACATTAGCAATAACAATAATGGGTAAACTAAAGGTGAAAACTTTCTACGGAGTATAACTTAATATACAAAGTATAGTGTTTTTTTGCTTCAATACGTGTGGGAACATATACACTAACACATACAAACAAATATACTTGCAAAGTTACATCCTGGAGTGTCGAAGGATCTTTCAAACTACTACACTTAACATGAGAAACTACCATGTTTTTGCTATTTTGAAGATTTCATTTGCAA